GAGGTCTTCACAAATTTTAGAGCATACAATAGTTTTTTTTTTCTTTTTTTTTAATTTGTTATTTATATTTTTCACTAAAAAGTCTCCAAAAATTCAGTAAATAGAGAATTTTTCAAAAGTTACTATCTATTTCAATACCTCATGACTATGGAAAAAAAAAAAAAAAAAAAAAATTCAATTGAATACCCCGTAACTTTTAAAAACTTTTTAAAAGTTTATAGAAGTTCCAATTGAATACACCAAATGTCCATGACATATTGATTTTTGTGTTTCTTTCCTTATGGATGCTGGAAAGGCTTAATATGACACTTTCGGTTATATTCGCACCATATACGAATCATTAGTATTTATTCATTATCATACTTTTGACTTTTTTCTTCATCACATTCTTATTTATAACATTTCATTGATCAGAAATCTTGCACTTAACAATAATTTTCGTCCAAAATTATTGTTAACAATGCTTTAAAATGAGGACCAAATATTTAATTGCATTTTGCAATCTTATTTTGTTATACTTATTTAAAATACAATGGGTAAATAAATTTTTTAACTGGATTTTAAATAAAAGTTTGAAGAGAAACCATAATCAATAATAATTTATGTTAATCTGAAAATGAAAATAAGAATGTGATAAAAAGGTTTGATATATAAATGTGTAAAAGTTATGAACATTTCATGGGATTAAAAAAAAAAAAAAATTTATTAAAAATTGTGGCGCGACGTTACTTGCAAACTTTTGAAAGCTTGAAGTGCTGCTGCATGGGTTAGCCCAGCAAGCAGATCGGACTATGCTCGAGGATGCATTTGAAATTTATTTTATCAAACATTCCCCCTTCTGACAACAACGGCGTTTGTAGTCCAACGGTTAGGATAATTGCCTTCCAAGCAATAGACCCGGGTTCGACTCCCGGCAAACGCATTTGTAAAATATTTTTGTTGGGTTAGTGACCTTTTTCTAATGTACTAAAATTTTGTCTATTAATTTATTTCGCTGTGTTTGGATAAATGATTTGTTTAATAATCTTTTTTATTGGCTTGATCGTTAAGTAGTTTTTCTTGAGTACTAATGGCTCCATTTTTACTTAAATGATTTGCATGATTTATCTCATTAATCTCCCAATTTTACTATTCAAAAGTATACCTCAATTAATTAGTATTTATATAGCATGCGAGTAATATGCATTTATCATCCTTCGAATGTATTGAACAAGAGTTTGCCATTAAGATTTTACATGTCTCGTACATTGTTAGTTTTAGTATAAAAGGGAAATAGACTCCCAATATTGTTTACATTCTTTAAAAGAAATTAACATGCCGCTAGCATCAATGATCAATGTATTGACATCTTGTTTATTTGCGATTATCTTTCTTAAATGGTTTAACACCTCTATTTTGAACAACCCTGTATGTTTTTTGAAGACTTTATTAATGAAGATCGAACTATCATCTGGCCATAAAAGGAGCTTCGTTGTAAAAAATAAAAATATATAAATAAATAATGGGGCATTCGGAGAATGAAAACCAGGTTTCCCTGGCCCAAATTTAACTGTTATGTGAAAGGGATGTGGAAAATGAATTATTAGAAGAGCTGGGGCATTCCGAGAATCGAACTCGGGACCTCTCGCACCCGAAGCGAGAATCATACCACTAGACCAAATGCCCGGTTGCATCACTTCTCGGTAATCATTATTAATGTAATATGTTTTGGTTAGCTAGTTTGCTGTTAGAACCGCCTATTCCCTTTTTTACTTAGACGAAATTCTAGTCATTTAGTTCCTTGCATTGATCTCCCTCTCTCTCTTTCCTCTTTTGGGGTAAAGAAAAATGGAAAGTTATATAAAATGATTGCCCGACCTTTCATAAGTCGTATATCTTTCATATGTTTGCTATTACTAAGTGTGCATTCATTATAAAATTTCTACTGGTTGACATTTTCACTTTTGGAGGAAATTAATTCTTAGTTTTTCTTGTGGACTAAAATTCAACATTATTCACCATAAAATGCGTTTGTGGTGGGGAATTTTTTGTGAGAATGGACATCATCATATACTTGCACGGTCTTGTAAAAGTATATCGTCCTGATGGTCCATGATTTCTTCTTGTACTTTGAGTAGATTGGAAAAACGTTAAGTTATCGTCTTCTCTTAGTTGTCGCGCATAAAAAAGATTGGGAGGAGTTTTAACCATGGGATTGGTGAGCTTGATGGACAACAGAGATGTATTGACATCGATCGAGGATATAAGCAAATTTAGGGTTGTAGAAATCTATACAATAACACAATCGATGTTTTAGAATGTGTAAAGTGTGATTAGGGATGCATGGAGATCAAGTTTCAAACTTTACGAGCTTAGCCTATGAATTTAAAAGATATTTTTTATTTTTATTTTTTATCATTCTAAAAATCATTTATTAGTTAAAATAATATATACCAAATATCTAAAATTATAGTATACTATATGATGGTGACATTTTCCAATATTCCCGATCAGCACATATCCCGACGATTATTTTTTGATAAAGTTGTAAATCCATCTGCGGTGTCCTCGAGCATGTTCATCCTCGAGACACTAGGCCCGACCACATCTCATGCTGCTTCGCATATTGCAAACATTTTGTCCTCGGGCATGCGCTCCCCTCACAACTGACGATGGTTGACCCTTTAGAATTCCTACGCAATTAAGAATCTTAACTCCCACAAGAATCCTATCTCACATATAATTCTGGAATTCAACCAACTCCTTAACTATTCAGGACTCCAACAGATGAGGACATCTAACTAGTTGAGTCCAATTAGGAGAATGTCACTAACTACTATAAATACAGAACCTTGAACCATTATTCAGGTACGTTTTTTCATTGTTCTCCAGCACATAGCCTCACGCACAAAATTCCCTTTCTGACTTAGCATCGGAGGGGCGACGAGAACACACCTCGTTGCCTTTGTTTCAGGTACCGGAAGACCACGATCGTGATCAACCAGAATCATCAAGCTCGGAAAATCATCAGGTACGATTTTTGGTAGCATCACTATATTCACTCGATAATTTTAACAATTAATCAATTATACAATTTTTAAGTTTTCGAAATGCAAAAGTTGGACTATATTTTATAATTTTAACTTTCAACTAGACAAATCTTACTTAATAAATTTATAGTAACTTC